CCCCCCCCAATGACTTTTAAGATCAAAAGCCCACAGCTACCTTAAAATGAATGTGTCCAGGGTAAGGCTTGTGGCTGGGGTGGGTGTTTAACAAACCTCTAACCTCAGTACCCTGCTGCTGGAAGGAAGTCCTATGTAGATTCTTGGTCATTTCAGGGAGTGATAATCCAGCATTTCAACACAGGTCATCCCCATTTCTTTCCCCCACCCCTCAATGTGTTGATGGCAGCCACGTGGGCTTAAAGTGCAAACCACCACCAGGGGCAGGAGTGGCATCTACCATCAGATCATAAATTAGAAAGGGAGACCAAATCTTAAGGATAACTCGTATTCAAGGAACAAGATGGCTAAGGTTCTTCCAGACCAGAAGGGAGCAGGCAGGAAGCAAATGCCTCCCTCCAGCTTCCACAGTGAATTCGCTCCCTGGATGAGTGCTCCCGCTGGTCTGAGGGCTGCCCTTCCCCGGCCGGGCCAATGGGGGGCGGGGGGCCGATTATTGTACGACCTCCCAGGCCTCAAGGGCTCTCCATTTTCCTCTGAGCATCTTCAGCGAGGACCGGCGTTTCCTTCGTTCCTTGGGAACCCAGAGCTCCAGTCACGATGCACTTGTTTCTCTCCCTTTGGATCTTAATTTCACAAATGTCTCTGGAAGAACTGCGCGTGGGGTTGGTGGTGGTAAGAGAAAAGGCCAGGTGGAAAAGTTCTAGGCTATATTAATGAATTCATAGACTTACTGTATAAATACACACAAAATTTTGAACAGCACCATTTCCCAGTGTATACACAAGATGATTATAACTTGGCACAATCTTTAGAGGTGGAAAAGGTCTAGGCTACTTCAGTAGTAAAAGACCTGGCACGGAAAAGGATAAGGAGCCGTATGCCACCTGCTACGGACTCGCCTTTTACGCCACCTTCGGCTGGGAACAGGAATGCCCACCCAGGCTAATCCTGGGGCGGCCAGAAACCCCACCTTCCACGGGGATGGGCCGGGCTGGCTCCACCCGCATTAAGAGTAACTGATGAAGGGCAACGAAGAAAGACGACTTGCTTTCAAACAATAAAAAGTCACTGCCGACATCCCATAAAATCGCCCGGTTTAAGCAAGCGCAGTTCAGAGACTGGCAAAAAAAAATACTGTAGACCTAGGAAAGTGCCTCTGCTCGTACAGGCAAACACTTGAAGATTAGGTCGAGACAATTTCACAGCGATGGCGCATCTAAACAGGCCACGGATAACCATACACAGCGCCCCGAAGTTGTCCCACTTGCAGCAAAGCAGGCCCCGCGCTCGCCTTTCTGGGTGCGCGCGAACTAGCGACGGTTCAAGATGCCATCGCCGCGGATGCAGGGCGCCCGGGCCTCAGCGCAGCTTCCTGCCGGGCAGGCCGTCCCGGGCACCGCGGGGCGGCACTTTGGAGAGCGGGCAGTACTTGATGGTGTGCGCGTTGTCGCCGCTGGCGCCGCACAGGGGGCAGGTGTAGCGGCGCAGTACGGGGCACAGCACGCGCCCGTCCGGGCCCTTGAGGATGTGCGTGGTGTACAGCGCCACGGCCTCCTTGTTGTTCCGGCAGAACACGCACACCTGCAGCTCGGGCTTGAGCAGCCGC